TAAAATGTCTGTTACTTGACAAATTGTACGTGTTCTAAGGAAATGAATTCTAGTATATCTTGAATTGGAAAAAAGCTGTCTCAATAAGAGGCTTTGAGTCAGTCAATCTAATATCTCTTTGTGTCTATCTTAACAAATATTCTATATAAAAAAAAACTAACATTGAATATTGAAACTTACTCGAATAGTTTATGATGTCAGTGACCAGACGTTAGCTGGTGCTCTCATATCAATAACTTACTTTATTCTTTCACTCTTTCTTTCATTTAAACGAATCGGAGCAGTAAAATATTTGACCATGAAAGTATACTCGAAAATGCATCGAAATATCGCTCCACCTAGTATTAACCAATAACTCAACGTATTGCGAATTTTTCGTGCTTACTTAATTACCATAACTCTCTTCTACATGAATTATTGCAGCGGTATACTTCCTTTAGAAAAATGAATACGCAAAAGTAAAATGTTTGAATGAATTAAACATTTTTTCCTTTTCGATGATGAAAAGAAGTGAATAAGGTAGTAGTTACGTTGTTTTTCTTTACAGAATTTGTTTGAAAGACCTCATTTTTTTAAATAAATTCTAAACGATGCTCATACTCATATATCAATTTAGTTGATTCTCAAAAGAACTTATAAAAAATATTTAATCGTTCAAAACACGAATCTTGTTATCCCTAAAATAAAAATCTTGCCTCTCATCCCAGTCACTACCGATCTTAGAAATTTTATTTGATAAATAGCTGAAATATTTTGTCAAGCATCACTCATTTGCTTATTAGCAACAAAATAAATACTGTAGGTAGGCATGCACTGATAAGGGAACATTCCCAGGTGTCGACATGCTTTTCGGTCGAAATTTTGCGCATCTTGTAGCCCTTAGTGAACTATACCTACCATTAAAAAGGTTCAGGTTTCTGACATGTTTCTGCCGAGATATGAAGTTTTTAGTGAATTTTCTCTATAGTGCCCAACTTTTGCAGGAAAGCTATATTTTTGAATTTTGATCTGAAACTTTGCCTACGAAAAGACCTCAATTAGGCTAGCATGCATAAAAAATTTCTGAACTCTTGAACACAGTCTCTTCGAGACGTGGAACTGTCATGGTACAGATCCTTTTCAGAAATAATATATATAGTATGCATGTTTTTTGAAAGCTACGTATCTCGAAGAGACTCTGTCCAACGGCACTAAAATTTTCTATACAAGCTAGTCTAGCTGAGACTCTTATGTAAGTAAAGTTTCAGATCAACATTCAAGAATATAGCGTTGCTGCAAAAGTATGGCACTATTGAGAAAATTCAGTAAAACCTTCATATCTCCGCACGAACATACCAGAAGCCCGACCTTTTTTAATGATAGGCATCGTTCACTAAGGGCTACAAGGTGCGCGAAATCCCAACTGAACAACGTTGCAACACCTGAGAATGTTCCTTCGTGAGCCCCAGTCCAAACCTGATCGAGTCAGGGCTCGACCAACCCTGAGCCTAACCGCGCCCGAGCATAAAAGAACGCGAGCACGACCGATTGTGAATCTAAGTGAGCTTACGCTCCACCGACCTTGAGTCTGCCGAGCCCAAGCCTGGCCGAGCCTGAGGTCCATCAAGCTCGAGGTGCTCGACTCGATACATGCCTAGTTGGAGAATGTGGAGTTTGGCTGTGGATGAGGATGAGATTCAATGAATATTCTCAGCCTCTGTCGTTCTCATTCTCGTCTGCAACTACTCTCCTTCCTATTCTGACCCGCATCCACACCTTCGAGATGTTTGCACCAATATGCTGAATTGATTAAAGTGCTTTCATTTGTAAGTTTGTTTGATGAAATTAAAGTACATTGCTGAATTAAAAGTTATTTATTGTATTCAGGTTTTAATTATTTTGATCGTATGAATGGATCGAGAGTCGAATTCTTCTTCTGTTCCATCAAAATCAAAATCAAAATTCCAATTCCGATTTGACAAAGTCTGACCTTATCCATATTCCAATGTAGCTAGAGACACATATGGATATACAGATATATATTTGCACACATTTTCCTTGTTTTCCTACTTTTCTTCCCTTTTTCTTTTGTCTCATTTTTCGCTCAACTGTTGAACCTGTAATGTCTTAATTTTTCTAATCAACTATAATAAATAGTGCTAACATCTATAATCGAAAAGTAGTTGTTTTAAATTACTATTCCTGTTTCACTGATTGACTGAGTCTTATCTCAAGATAGAACTAGTACGGATCGAATGTTCCAAACAATTCTGTCTATGATCAAATGCTATTCCATAGCGCAATGAAGTTACAAAAAAGGACAGGAACCTAAATTTTAATCTAATACTAAGCCTAAAAATGATCTGTTTCTATCTTTTATAGGACAACAGAGAATTGGCTTAGGCGTCTGTGCCGTTTGTCTCGATGCTGCAAATGAGGGTTTTTTGGTCTCCTATGAACAAGATTCACTTTCCTGTGGTCATCCAATATGTTCTATGTGTGCTGCGTGTATCATGTCGTTGCCAGAAGATAGATGCTTTTGTCCATTTTGTCGTCGACAAATCGAAGAATTCGTGTATCCTAAGTTCACTTAATCGTTCAAAAACAGCTTAAAACAATAAACTAAATGAAAATATAGACTTATCCAATATAATTGATCCATCAAATTTGAAATTGAGATGCATGAGGATAAAAATTTATTATATAAAATTCGTATCCGAATGAAAAAGTAACGAGATAAGTAAGGGTTATATAATGTACCGTTAATATTAATGGGGAAGATTTATCCACCAAACTCATAAAATTTGAGCTGACATTTACGACTCAAATATTCTAAAACAAAGCAGATACTTTAACGCAATAGTCATAAAAGATGATTGTTAAAGATAAAATCCTTTGTGACGTCTATATAAAAAGGACTACTTCGCAATAATCAGCGATCGGAGTAGTTTTGCAGAGTTATCAATATAGATGCAACGGTGATGACGGTTGTCAACCTGTCTACCGTCAACCTCTGCCATCGTTAGTGTCTTGTGAGAACGACTCCTCTTGACTTTTGTTACCCGTTATCATGCCCGCATCTTCATTCGCGTAACGTCTTCGGGATTCTTATCACGATCCGATTTTTTATGTTTGAAAAAAAAAAAAAACTATCATATCAGACATTAGCTTCCGTTAACATCGCACTTTACGCAACGTGAGATGGTCTTAAATTAAAAATAAAGTTATCATTGGCCGTACATTTTAGTAGACTAAATCAATTATTAGTTATGCGTTAAAATTTAGTGACGTTAAGTTAAGAAAATAAGTTTCTTCATCAATTGAACAATGGTAAAGAGAAGAAAAAATAATAGTACATCAACAAGACCAATGAAAAACGGAAACATTCAAGAGAAAATAATAATAATGGCGTATTACCAGACAATCTGAATAAGAGTTCTTTCAAAGATGATACTCACAAAGAAAGTAATAACTGCGATAATTGAATTACAATTTAAAAAATAATCAATGAGCTCTTTAAATTTTATTGATAGATATTTGTTATTTTTCTTTTAATTAAAAAGTGATGCAAGTCTTTGGAATCGTGTCGCAATCTATTTCTCAACAATTCAATATCGAATTTACTTCAGCATCTTTTACTGGGAAGAGCAAAGTTTGAAGAGTATTTGGATAAAAAAATTTTCGAGAACACTTATTTTTAATATTGTTCGCATGCCTGAAGTCTTCACGTGGATTTCTGTCCCCGATTTCCGCGGGTAATGAGACGAGAAAATACGCAAAAAAAAAGTTCTCGCAGAACACTAGTCATCCCATCACCGGTGCACCGATGTCGAAGTACTATAGTGGTTGCTACTAAAGATGAACCAATTTCAATTCCGATCATTTCTAATTCAATCCGACCGATTCCAAGTCGAGAGTCGAGAGTCGAGATTGAAATTCGTGCCTCTCTAGCGGCTACGGTTTATCAGCGATTTATGGAAACTGATGGTGTGGGTGTGTGGGTGTAGAATGTTGGTCTTCTCTTCACCAAATTCACACTCATACCCACATCCACACACTCATACCCTTGCATGAAATTGCTCGCAAAAGAAGAAATGGCTACGGAGTAAGCGAAATTTATCGTTGAAAATGTTATGATGTTATTGCCAATGCCATAAAAATTTTAGTATGAAGAGGCGATACTGAAAAATCTTCAGATACTCAAAGTAATCACGACCTTGCTAAAAATCTATCACATCTAGCTTCAGAATTTTCAGAAAAAAAGAATATTTAATCGATTGAAAAAACCAATAACATCAGTGCTACATAAAATAACTATTTTTAAGTATATTGTGTAATAAAGGTAATCAAATTTAAGTGTAATATGATCATTTTATATTATTACCTCGACGTATTTTTAGATGATGACTAGCTAGCAAGTTAATCTTTGTTCGATGCAAGGATTATTTTCAGCATGAATATCACTGATATCAATCAACTCTCAGGAATAACTTGAAATAAAATAAAATTTTCTATTTCCATCGAATAACTTCTTCTCAATGACGAACACTGAAATCTTCTATCGATAATTTCGACTTATCTTACCGAACAATAAATCTGATTATTTTTCAGAATATATTTTATTGTATAGGTACTTAATTTAGTATACATAAATATTTGTTATCGTTATATTGTTCAAAGTTTTTAGGTATCCATAGTATATAAACGAATATAAATCCGAGTATACCCAAACAAAAAAAAAATATAAATAGATGTCAAAGATATATACTTATACTAACATGACTAGACCAACCAATCAATTAGAATGATATTGAAATATAAGACTCTTTTTATATGTATTTATATATATATATGTATGAATTAAAAAAAGAAGGTATGAAATAAAATACAAGGTATGAGCACACATTTTGCTGAGTAAGACAAGAGACACTGTTTCAAAATGCATATCAAAATGGTAAAGAATGCAAATAAAAAGAACTCTTTATAAAAAGAAAAAGAATAAGAGAGAATATATCAATTTCTCAAATACTGTATTCTCTGGATGTTGAACTAGCAGCCGATGAGGATGATGTAGATGAATGATTAGGATAAATCATATTGGAAGAAGCAAGAGGAGGAGGAGGTGGTGGTGGTGGTGCATCAATTGAATCATACGTTAAATATGTTGATTGTAAATCTGCTATTGGTCTTCTCGTTAAAGCTTGTACAGTCTTTTTTAAATTATAATGATTTGATGAAGATGATGATGCTGCAGGGGAATGAAATGTTTTTAAATGATTCGGTTGTTGTTGAATATTATCATCAACACTACTAATCGATTGATGTATACCTACAAGAACCACTGTTGCTGATTTATTATTCGCTGATGATTGTTGTCGCTGTGTCGGTACAGCATAATCAACACTTGTTGAACTTAAACTTGATGAACGATGTTGTGCTGTTAGAAGAGGACGTGCAACACCATGTGCACTTGAACTTGATCGTGATAAATCATTACTTCCATAACAACTATCTTCTGAACTTCCACCACCAGCTGAACGTTTTATTTCATCATATGCTTCAATATGATGATGTCCAGTCAATTTCTAAATAAAATAAAAAAGATTATGAAACTACATATAAAATATGCCATGTTGTGCTGATGCCATTTCAAGTTAATTAGCTTCGGATATGTCTGAGATGCGCGTTTGCACTTTTACACATAAATATTCTTCACAATTCATTTCCCCGGATGTCTAACAAGGGACATAGGCTAATAGAAAGTAATTGCATAATCAAAAACTAAAAGAATCATGATCAAGTGAATGTCTCCATTTTTATTTTATTTTTTTTACATAGATGATTATTTATTTCAAATGTTAAATAGTAGCCTAACCTTTTGATAGAATTTGTCTCAATATATACGGATTAAAATGACAATCTTCACACATGGTTAGATTAAAATACACAAAAGATGACCTTTAGAACAAATTAAATAACATGATATGACATAACTTACATTAGTTGTTGATATTGTCGTAAGAAGTTTATCAGCATCAGTTGATTGAAGTAATTCACATGGTTTTTTTAATGATGATCGATTTAAATGTTGACAACGTTTTTGTTTACAAAAACAAGCTATTAAAATTCCCATTGTTATACTAAATACTAATGTTAGAATAGTTGATATAATAACAACAAGGATTATTTCACGTGTTAAAATTGTATCATATTCAAATGAATATTCTTTTTGTTGAATTTTATTTAATAAATGTTGTGAATTTAATGATGTTGTATAATATAATTTATTAATATATTCTCCAACTTTAATATTAATAATTATTGTTGAACATTTTGGATTTAATTCATTTTGATCACATACTTTTATTGTTAAACGATGATGTCCTTGAGGTAAATTATTTGATTGTGCATATATTGTTCCATTAAAATAATTTATTTGAAAATATTCATGTTGATTACCATCAATAATTGTATATGTTAAATTTCCATTCATATAAGAATCACGATCATGTGCAACTATTGTTGTAATTGTAATTATTTTTGATTGACTTGTTTCTAATAATTCGCTTGGAATATAAACAGCTGATAATGGTTCAATTACTGGTGTATTATCATTAACATCAATTAATTCGATTGTTATTGTTACACGATCTGAATGAAGATAATCATTATCTTTTGCAATAACATATAAACGATGTATTGAATGATTTTCATAATCAAGTAATGCTTTTGTACGTAATTGACCATTTAATAAATCTATTTCAAATACATCTTGATCATCAATACATGTTAATTCATAATGAATAGTTGTATTTGCATCAAGATCTAAAGCTTTTATTTGACCAATTAATGTACCAACAGGTATATTTTCTAATACACGAAATGAATAAGAATCTCGTTGAAATTTTGGTTTATTATCATTTAAATCATTTATATAAACAATAAATGAATGTAAAGTTTCAAGATGTTTTGGATTTTTACCATGATCACTTATATTTAATATTAAATCATATTTTGATTGATATTCATAATCAAATGATATATTTTTTCCAACAGAAAGAATTCCAGTTATTGGATCAAGTTGAAAAAATCGAGAATTATTTGACAGAATAAGAGAATAAGTTAAAAAACTATTTGATGTATTTGCTGCATCAAAATCATGAGCATGAAATTGAATAAGTTTAATATTAGGTAAATTATTTTCATTGATACTTATTGGAGTTGAATATGAATCAAGTATTGGAGGTGAATCATTTATATCAAGAAGAACAATTGTTATATCTTTTCGAGTAATTAATGATGGTCCAATACCTATAAATAAATAAGATTCAATAGAAATAAAAAGCTATTAGCGCAATTTATGTAGAATGAAAAATGTGAAATACGATATAAATGCTGTTGAGAATCATAGAGAGACGAGGGTATTGCTAAGCTGTCTATGATGATCAATCAATCTCTCGAACTAACCTTGATCTCGTGCTTCAAATGTTAAACGATACTGTTCTTGTTGTTCTCTATCAAGTCTTCCAATAACTGATAAACTATATAAATCATTATATTGTTCATTTAATTGAAATAGATTTGTATATGTTAATAATTTTAATTGTATTTTATCGTTAATTGAATCTTTATCACTAACACTTAAATGAAATAAACGTGTATTCATTGATTGTTCTTCATCAATATAATAAATATGTTTACGTGGATCAATTTTATTAGATTCAATATCTGGTAAAATAAAATCAATATCTGGCGGACAATCATTGACATCAAGTATATCGATTTGAACTTGTGTATAAACATTAATTGCATCGGGACCATTATCACGACCACGAACATTAAAACGATAATTTGTTTCTTGTTCATAATCTAATAAATGTATTAATTTAATAATACCAGTTGTAATATTTATTTCAAATGGAAATAATGATAAGGGATTATTTGTTATAATTGTATAATTAATTAAAGAATTTAAACCTTCATCATTATCATAAGCATGTATATGAAGAATATCTGTACCAATTGGAGTATTTTCTTGTAATTTAATATAATAATGTTCATGTTCAAATTTTGGTACATTATCATTTGAATCAAGTATATGAATATCAAGTAATAATTGTCCTGTAAGTTCGCTATCACTAGCTAAAATTATCATTTTATATAAATTTCGTTTTTCACGATCAAGAGTTTTTAATAAACGTAAACCAAGTTGATTTTTCGTATGTAAATTAACAATAGAAAATGTTTCAAAAATGTCTTGATCATTTGATTCATTAAATGATATAATACGATATTCAATAGAATCTTGATAATCAAGATCCGTTGCTGATGGAAATGATGATATATAACCAATATCAGTATTTTCTGATAATCGAATATGAAATGTTGTTACAGGAAATATTGGTTGATTATCATTTATATTTATAATTGTTATATCTAATGATAATATATCAATAGTTTGTGATGATGCTATAATTTCTAATGTTAATATACATCGTTCACAATTACATATATGTGTTTGACATAATTCTTCACGATCGATCATACGTTTTATAGAAATACGTCCTGTTAAAGAATCAATAATAAAAAATGAATTATGTGGACTTGAATCAGATAGAAAAGAAAATTTATATAAATTCGATGATGATGAATAAACACGACTTAAATCGTATATAGATGTACCAATTGAACTTTGTTCATTTAATGATATTGGTGTTAGACGTTGAATTGCTGTATAAATTGGTTTAAGAAAAAAGAGAAATAATAAAAATTGAATAACATACATTGCTATACTAAATCTAGGTAAAGTAAAAAAAAAAGAATGAATGAATGAATGAATGAATGAATGGACAACATATAGCTTTACATGATTAATCCCTATTCTAATGAGTTAAGACCTGAACAAAGATCAACCTATAGAGTTAGTTGATGCTAACAAAAAGAAGCTGATTGTACACCGAGAAAAGAGAACAACTGAATTGTATACACTTTTTTTCCTTGGTGTTGAAGACAAAGAAAGAAAGAAAAAAAAAGAAAAGACACTACAGGGAGAGATAACATAGATGCGCACATGAGCACAAATTCACTGAGGGTGTGTTTGTGATTAGAGATTTTAATGAACAACTTGGTCACGCACCAATTTTTTTTTGTTGCTTTGGACTCTTTACTGATGCTGCTCAGTGAGATTGTATCGATTCGACGCATATACGTTTATATCTATATATACATATGTATCTATATTATACATATACACATAAATCGATCGTTGAGCGCTCCACCCAATTTTCGAATTAATGACCGATAGCCTACAAGTGTGAATGTTTCATCAACTATCGTGATGTCTTTCTTTCTTTTTTTTTGTTCTTGTCTCTCATTTAGCGCTTGTAAACAAGTTAAAGAACAACAAAGAAGAAAAAAACCTGAATAAGGATGATAGATGTGTATGTGTATATACAAACTTGTATACTACTACAAAGTGACTTCCTTTCCGGAAGACTGAATGCATGCGCATGAGAATCCTCGCTATGAATGTTTGTGTTTTTATATGCTATAGACGGCAAGGATTAGAACGTTGATGATGATGATGATGATATAGTCATGATTGATTTTTATGTAGCCGACAAACGTTAATGGTGACAAATGAAACGTCAAACAGTGTTAAACTCAGCACATCAACGTCAATGAATTTGAAATAGGATCAAATTATCGACGGTAGCGAACTTAGGAAATATAAGCCCTGATGGACAGACAGACAGACAGTTTCAATTCGGTTGTATACATAATTATATACACGCATGTTGGGTCATTATGTAAAAGATGAATTCAAAGACTTATTTATTAGAAAACAACGGAAGACACTACTATAATTATATACTTGAAAGAAACATATAATGACCAAGGATACCACACGCACTCCTCTAATTACCAGAATAAGTCAATGTCAACAGAATGATGAGATTTGCCTGTTCAATGATGTTACCATTTTCTCTTTTTACTTTATTTTTATGTGTGACATATAGAAGATTTATACATTCATACGAACAATGCAACTACTATCGCTTATCGCTTGATTAAGAATATGTGATGTGTTCATCTAGATTCACATACACACGCAAATTCGATATTGTCTAGGCGGGATGATGACGTTCAAATTATTAATTTTAGGTTTTACACATACACTCATTGCACACATGCTCCCACAGGTCGAATTAAAGTTCAGGGACAATATAACACATACAGATATATACGTATATATGTATATATATATAGATTTATATACAGATACATTGAGAATGAATTATTTCACTTTCACACGAGATACATCTTTCACACATAATTAACGCATATAGGAGGAGTGAATAGCACGCGACTACTAACCTAAAGCTGACCTTGTATATATAGAAATAGACAGTTATATTTCTACTTTTACCAAACTGACCAAATCATTATTGAAAAACAGAAAACGAATATTGATGACGATGATGATTGAGTATGTTTACAAAAAAAAAACATCCTATAAATCGATCAAAGACCGATTCAATTCCAATTAGACGGCTGCTGTTTAGTTGGTCAGTCGCGCCGCCCCCTCTTTTTCTCTCTCTGTTGAATGTTCTTTACAGCGATTGATCATTATTTTCGACTTGACTAATGCTTGCACGCGTGCACTTTCGGATGACAAAATCCGTATGTGCACATACCGACGAATACAATAATAATGAGCAACGGCAATTGTTGAGTCGGGGTTCAAATAAGCAGAAGAAGACGAGACGAGCAACTAAGTAAGTGAGACTTCCGGTTGAATGGTCCAGCTATATCCGATAACGCACGCCTACTTCGACATGGATAAGAGAAAAAAAACGAGAAGATTTTGCTGGACCACATACATACGTGTGTATGTATGTACGTATGTATGTTTATAAAATGACCTGAGGATACAGTTTGATCTTGACCTGATTATCAGTCTATTTCATCTGTTCTTTTTTTTTGTTTCTCTGTTTCTAATGAAAACAAACAAACTAAAATAAATTGAACAAGTATACCACTCATTTAAATTATGCTGTTTCATCTTACAAGTATACGAAATAGTCATTCAATATTGTCAATACAAAAGAGAATACCGACCTATATGGATATTACCGGCGTGCGTGCGTGTGTGTACGATAGACAGCAGCTGACTATCAACAACACACCGTATACTAGTTTTAAGGTCATTTTCTTTCTAAAACTGGTTAATAACTGGACAATGATGATCATTAATCTATTTATCAAGCACTATATTATATAAAAATAGAAAAACTTACTTACATACTATTATCCCATCATATAAATGCCTTCTGACAGAAACATTCCGTTTTTCTCTTTTTTTTTTGCTTGTCTTTCCCTCGACTATTATTTTTTCTTATAAGATTATGCAGTGAGTTTGAAACAAATGCAGCTGCCGGTGGCGGATGCCAATGAAAGGACAAGAACAAGCGAGGATGTGGGAAACATAGAGAAAAAAATGCGGCTGGTTCTGACTCGTTTATTAATTTGACATTGAATTAACTACTATATTTCACTTGTATGTGTATATGTACGGTCTATATTGTCAATGGAACAGAGACCAACGTGCGGAAAAGACAATGAAATAACAAGGACAATAAAGGCGATCGGCTAATCTTGTTGTGTGAACGATCGATAATTACTCTCTCTCGCTTCCTTCTCTTTTTTTTATAGAATTTGAATAACGTGTGTCTCATTTTAAATTTTCTCTCTTTTTTCCTCGTTGACAATTATTCTCATATGTATATTCGAACAGGTACTACTACATAGAATGTGTACGAATCAGACATCAGTTACGAAGGTCAAGTGAATAGGACACAGCAGGAATATAACCTTTTAGGTCAGCGAGCCGTTTGTCAATACATCTATGTATATATATATATATATATATCTATATGTCTTGACTTTGAATCACTGTATGAAGTGAAATACAAATTGGAGTGGACGATGGAGAAAGAAAAAGAAAGAGACAATAGCGAGTGAATGAATGAAAAACAAATTTGATGAAGCTGGTTATTCATTTTGTTATTATCTGAAGCTCATTCACATCGAAGCAAGGTCATTGAAATTATTAAAAAAATAAAAATAAACGTGACATTGAAGCCTCATAGATTTGTCTTTCATCAAGACTTAAAGCTAAATTCCTTGTCTAAGAAGAGTAACAGCAAACCACAATAAGATAAACATAATCATTATGTGACATGAGAGGATTATGATTGCTGTAATTTTGATCTTTCTAATTGTCTTCCTGTTTTTTTCTATGACTATGTGTCTATCGAATGGTACTTCAATATCTATGTGCAGGTGACGCACACGAAAATGGCAGCTTAATTTAGATCATACACTATAAAATGTATGAGCAGATTGTCTCTTAACTTTTTTTCTAGGATTTTTTTCAACAAATTGATAATATTAGTTGTTCTGTATGTCCGAGTGAGTTGTTCCGGTTGGATGAGAGCCATCATAAATATAGAGGTATGATTAGTATATAGAAAGAACTAATGCAGTAGATGATGTCTGCTGTATTGTTCTTTCTTTGTTAAGAGAAATAGTGATGAAGCGAAAAGGAAATGACTAGCGCATACACTGCTTTCATTGTATGTTCTATATCCTTTATTCTTACTGATCAATAATGGCAACTGAACTACGTAGTAGTGATGAGTGACATGACATGTTTCTATACGAGCTAATGCTTGCAGACGCATAATTTATTAATGGGATATTTCATTTAGGATGCCATTGTGTACATATTATCATTAATCTTAATTAAATTTTAGTGAAAATTTTATTTTCTTACAATTTAACAGATAATTGATATAGATATTTAAAATATTGATCTTTGTTTTATATTGAAAAACGAATTGTCATATAGAAGGACAGACGATTGAATATTTACCCAATGTCAATAGAATATGTTTTTTCGGGGACATACGTGATGAATTGATTTAATGACGATGATGATGGTGAGTGTCCGTTGTACAACGAACGATGAGAAGTGGAAAAAAATGTCGTCCGAAATTACGGACATAATGACCTCGAAAGAAAGTACGGACATATATGCACAGATAACAAGTCATCTTAAAGAAGTTTCCGGTGATTGTCTTATGACTACTATCGTATATACTCAATATTCATCATCTTCTCAATTCAGTTCCGCTCGACGAACTCAATTAGAAGCATGCATTGCGCATCTCTAATGGTCATCATTCTCTTTTCAAGAGTCTCTCTCGCTTACTACTCGATTGTGTCGGCTATCAGTCAAGCAAGGCTAAGTGGTCAATATTCTCTCTTATTTCTCTTCCGCTTGCTACCTCGTAATTTCCTGCTTTATCCCTCAGTGCCAGTAGCACTTGTCAATCGTACACTTACTCCGATCTCCATAACCTTCGACATTGAATAGAATTGATTTCTTTTTCTTTTTTTGAATCGAATTCATTTTATTCTTATCAAAACATATGTGGATTTGTATGCCCTCCCACACATTTTATTTCGATACATAATTTAATTCAGCTTTAACCATCATCAAACATTCATGCATATGTATGATTCTCATACTGTTGATTGATGTTTTCAAATCAAACATATATATAAATGTGTGTGTGTGTAATGTCGATACACGACTTATTCAATGTCAATTCTCTACTATTCAATCGATCTCACGAGAAAAGAATTAATAATCACATGTATTGTCTTACCTTTGTTTTTTTTATATTGAAAACGATAAAATAACATAAAGAACGATGA